TACTAATACAACACATTTTCACTATTATTTGTTAATAATAAATTAGAAATTCGTGAAAAGAGCCCTACTTTTAAGCCAAAACGGACTCTGATGTTGCTACCACCAAACCAAAATCAAAAGTAAACGCAGAGGACCGAAAAATGTGACCTTTTATCAGGTAGCTCACGTGACAGTGACGTCATCGTACGTCACGATGAGATTGCAAAAATTATTTTTCATATTTTAGATCAGAAATTGTACATTTTCGGGGTTAATTTAACAATGTTTAAACAAACTAATTTGTTTTTGCTAACCTCGTGTTCTTAGGAAAATGGTTTTCGGTTTAATTGTCATATATTAATAGTTATCATATTTAAACATTATGAATTATATTATGTTTAAATTTTATTTAATTATATGGCGAAAATGTATAGCTTTGACCCACCAACTTCAATCGTTTCGAAAATTTTTCCAAAACTTAAACATTGTCGAATAAACGAATCACGGAATCCGATAAATTAAAACTGAAGTCGTACTTACCTCGTTTTCGGTCCTTTTCGGAAAAATATCCATTTTCGTTCGCGTTCACAGCACTAACACAACATATTTTCCGTAATATTTATTAATAATAAAGTAGAAATTCGCTAAAACGCTCCACTTTTACGCCAAAATGAAGCGACGATCTTGCCGCCATCAAACAGAAATTAATACTGAACACAAAGGACCGTAAAACGTGACCTTTATACAGGTAGCTCACGTGACATTGATGTCATCGTACTTCACCATGACACTGCAAAATTTATTTTTCATATTTTGGCCGAGAAAATGCACATTTTCGGGGATAATTTAACACTGTTTAAACAAATTGATTTGTTTTTAATAAATTCGGGTTTGTAGGAAAACGAGTTTCGGTTTAATTATCGTATATTGATGCTCATCATATTTAAACATTATAAATGATATTAATTATGTTTAAAATTTATTTATTTATATCGTGAAAATGTATAGCTTTGATCAACCAGTTTCAATCGTTTCGAAAATATTCCCACAATTTAAACATTGTCGAGTAAACGAATCACCGAACTCAATAAATTAAAACTGAAATCGTACTTACCCTGTTTTCGGTCCTTTTCGGAAAAATATCCATTTTCGTTCGTGTTCACAACACTAACACAACATACTTTCCGCAATATTTATTAATAATAAAGTAGAAATTCGCTAAAACGCCCCACTTTTACGCCAAAACGACGCGACGATCTTGCCGCCATCAAACAGAAATTAATATTGAACACAAAGGACCGCGAAACGTGACCTTCGGACAGGTAGCTCAGGTGACAGTGACGTCATCGTACGTCACGATGAGATTGCAAAAATTATTTTTCATATTTTGGCCGGGAAAATGCACATTTTTGGGGATAATTTAATAATGTTTAAACAAATTGATTTGTTTTTAGTAATTTCGGGCTTTTAGGACAACGAGTTTCGGTTTAATTATCATATATATTTATGCTTATCATATTTAAACATTATAAGTGATATTAATTATGTTTAACATTTATTAATTTATAACATGCAAATGTATAACTTTGATCAACCGACTTCAATCGTTTCGAAAATTTTCCCAAAATTTAAGCATTGTCTAGTGAAAGAATCACGGAATCCGATAAATTAAAACTGAACTCGAAGTCGTAAGATAATTAGCTTTTATTTATGCATAAATTGTGCAGTGCGTTTTTTATAACACTGACCATAGAGATTCCCAACTCAAGATGTCTACCCCTTACTAACTGATATTTTGGTGACTCGATTTTTGCCTTGATGGTTGAACACTGTCAATGTTTTCCGTTTTTGTTGTATCGAGATACTACTTGAGCATCAACTGTTACCTATTGAAGTATTAGCATCATCTAGAAAAACTAGAAATATTTTGATTTGATATTCGAGTGGATCCTTCGTATTTCGAGTATGAGCATCTACTGAGTTTTATTTATATCAACCATTGTCAAAAATTTGATCGAACGTTGTTTCGACAGAACTTCCTTCGCACCAAAAGTATAATGAAACATATTCAGCATTTTCGAGTTGAGTCTTTTCTTGATGTTCTTGTGTGAACATTTACGATCAACACGTATACCACCTTGGATTGGTGCAGTGTAATACTAAAAATAACTGTATTGTATTCCCAAAATTATCTGCGAAAATCGAGTGGGCCGTTCCAACAATTTTTTGGGGGGAATAAGTAAATATTCTTAACAATTTACCATGCTTACAATAACTTTAAAACGTTTGCAAGATCTCAAAGTAGTCATTTCTTCAACTCTTGAGTTATTCTCTAAAATAAATTGACTGATCCATACATTTTTTGCAGTCACTGTAAAAGCAAATCTAAAAAATATGAATGCAATGATAAATTACGAAAATATACTGATGATGTTTTGCACATTTTAGATAGGATCTGTTCGGTAAAATCTTGAGATGACGTCGTCAAGTTTTTGGGCTTGATAAACAGATATATTTTGATTAAAAACCTACCATGTCAAACAGTAACTTCAAAACGTCTGCAATATTTCAAAATTCAGTTTTGCAATTCTTGATTCAATCAATAAAATAAATTGACTCATCAGTGATTAATTTTTTTGAGACGCCCCCTATAAGCAAAACTAAAAAATATGAATGGAACGATAAATCACAAGTATAGTCTCATCCTATCTTGGACATTTTAGAGAGGATTCATTTGGCAAAATTTTGGGCTGACGTCACCAATTTTTTGGAGGGGATAAGTAAATATATTTTGAATAAAAATTTATTATGCTCATCATATGTTTAAAACATCTGCAAGATTTCAAAGCATTCGGTTTTGCAGATTCAAAATTAAATTGTAGGTGAAACGAAGTTCACGGGGTCAGCTAGTTTGAAAGAATAAAAAAAAAATTTGTAACAAATTTTCGCATTAATTACTCAAAGTATTCTTAGAGCCAGGAATTTGCTGCAAACTACTTTAGGTAAATTACACGAATTTAGACACAGTGACCATTTTTAACAAAATTAATGGAAAATTTGGTATTGATTATTTTACCGTTGAGACGTCATAAACGAAAAGCAATGAATGATAAACAGAAATTATGGCAACTTTTTTCCGAAATTCTTGATACTAAAATTAATCAAATACGAATTAGATTTGCTGGGATAGAAAAATTACACATTTTTGACGTGCTTAATGTTTCTAAAATTTCCTTTTTCCGAAAAAAATTCCATGTCAACCAAAAACGCAAGCACGACAATACAATTTTTTTGACATTTAGGTAGCTAGTGGAGCATCTTGTGCCTTGCCTCATCAACTTCTCAACTCATGAGCCGCCCCTGGTTAAAAGTTTGATGTGTTCTAACAAAGTTGCAAAGTCCTGGATAATCCAGCAAAAATCTGCTTTGTAAACAAAATTTTGAAACCCGCGAAAAATTCAAAATTTAGTCCAAATTAAATACACTTAAAATCAGAATAATGATTCAAGAATAAATGTTCAAATTCAAGTTGTAAGAAAATAATTCCGATATAAGAAACAACTATAATACAAAATAGATTACCTAGATATAAGATACATTTCGTATCTCTAGTCCATGTTAATATTAATTTAACTGATAATAGTTCTTTCTGTCAAAATGAATCAACGTTTAAGATTAGTTTAAATGTTCTTCTGTCGAGTGGGAATGGAAACTAATAATAAAATCTAGAATAGTCTAATGAAAAAAAATAAAAAAAAAAACGCTAATCGTATTTTTTTTGTTATACTGTTTGCTATAAAATTTATTCGTTATTTCATGCATCTGACCTGACTTGACCTACCGTGACCTGACCTCATCTAGTTAGAAAAATAGTCGAAAATGTCAAAAGTGTCAAAATCAGTTTTATCTTATCAAATATTAGCCCCGCCCACCCACCCTCTGTTTTTTGGAAGGTATTTGATTTGCCAAAATCAGCTTTATCTTAGTACTAGCCTTCCCCCCTCTTCTATTTCTAAAGACTAATTTTATTTCTGTTAAGTATAAGGTCATTTATTTAATTCAGATCGGATAAAATCAATCGCTGAAAAAGAGGTAGGGTGGGTGGGCGGAGCTAGTTATGTTCTTCTGTCGAGTGGGACTGGAAACTAATAATAGAATCTAAAATAGTCTAATAAAAAAATTAAAAAAAGGCTAATCGTATTTTTTTTGTTATACTAAATATTTGCTATAAAATTTATTTCTTATTTCATGCATCTGACCTGACTTAACCTACCGTGACCTGACCACTTCTAGTTAGAAAAATAGGCGAAAATGTCAAAAGTACCAAAATCAGTTTTTTCTCATCAAATATTATTCATTTTGATCAAAAATTTACCATGTTTATGATAACTTTAAAACATTTCCAAGTTGTTAAAGCATTCGATTTTGTAGTTTCTGATTAAATTAATAAAATAAATTCAAGCATTCATTAATTTTTTTGAGTCACCCTGTATATGCAAATCCAAAAAATATGAATGGAATGATAAATGTAGTATAAACCGCAAGTAAGAAGTTATGAAGTGTGAGTAAAGTAATAACTTAAGTAAAAACACACCGAAAATTTAGATATCATTGTTAAAAAAATGTGAAGCCCGAATAATTGATTTCCTACCACGTGTTTTTTTATATTAACGTTTACACGATTCACCTTGTTTGGTTCTTCGTAAGTATTTTAGGTAATATTATTGAAGAGTAGAATCCACTCAATAATATTTATTACCTACCTAAAATTTATATGATGGTAAAATCGTACTAGATCAATGAACAGTTAAAAACCTTGAACTGTGAATTTCCAAACAACAAAACAAAAATAATACCTCACCGTCACATTTTGTACATTTCGTATTAGAAATTCATTAATAAACTGATATTTTCTCTGTTAACAGTGTGAGTAGTAGAATGACCGCAGCTGCTGCTTTCTTTAGTGTATTGCTGGGTGCATACAAATATGTGTATAATTGGTTGCCTATAGAAATTTTAATTCATAATTGTCAAATATTGCGTAATAAGAATCACGAATTTTAAAATAACCCACTCAGCTTGTAAACAAATTAACACAACTTTAAAGTAAGTTTCCATAATATACACTCTATTATACTGTTAGTCATAGAGGAAAATTGTTTGAATGTTGAAGCTCTTGTCTAGCAGAATTTTTCAAATCAAGAATCCTGTGACCTGTCTTCCAAAAAATAGTTGTTTTAAACATTTTGCAAAAATGGCTTCACCAATTTCTCTAACTCTTCCAAGTGGACAAAAAATGCCGGCATTGGGCTTAGGAACGTGGGAAGTAAGTAGTTATTGCATAAGTAACACAAAAATGTAAATATTTTTAAATGTAGGCGAAATCTGATGAGGAAGTTGCAACTGCACTGAATACAGCCTTAGAACAGGGCTATCGTCACATCGACACCGCTTTTGTGTATGAAAATGAACGCGCCATCGGTGGTGTTTTACAGAAATGGTTTTCTACTGGAAAACTGAACCGTGAGGATTTGTTTATTACCACCAAGCTTCCAATGGTTGGAGTACATCCGGATCGAGTTGACATGTTTATTAAAAAGTCATTGAATAATTTGCAACTGGATTATGTGGATTTGTATTTGATTCATTTCCCAGTTGGTTGCAAGTATGAGGAAGGTTCAGTGAGACCAATTATTAACGAAAACGGGGAAATTGAAACTGAAAAGAAAACTGATCATGTGGCTCTCTGGGCGGTACTACATTTCAATAATAATGTAATAATAGAATAACCCATAGTGTGATTGCAGAAAATGGAAGAACAAGTGGACGCAGGCCGAGCCAAAAATATAGGCTTATCAAATTACAATATATCTCAAATTTCAACAGTTTTGCAGACTGCGCGCATAAAACCTGCTAATTTACAAGTGGAACTGCATGTCTACTTACAACAACCGGAGCTTGTAGATTTTTGCCAAAAAAATGGAATTACCGTTGTTGCCTACTCGCCTTTGGCTAATCCAGGCTTCAATAAATTCTTAGAAAAGACTAGCTGTTACCCGCAGCTCCGCTTGCGTGGTTTTCGCAATTAGGACACATTATTTTTGATCCGCTGATTTATTTTTTGATTTCAATTTTATTACTTTTTAAGTTTGTGCAAGCCTTCATTAATAACAATATATAAAAGTATTTGTCCTTCGGCTGACTGATTCATTAACATAACTACTGGAGCTAGAAACACGAAATTTGGACAGAAGGTTCCTTTCGTTATGTAAGCATCAATTACCCCTAAGTGGGTGAAATAAGGACTGAAAGTTTGGAGTTAGGGTTCCATGAATTTTGTAATTTGGGTTATCTTTTGTCGATTTGATTAAAAGTCATGTTTTAAATTAAAGGATATTTTTTTAAAAAAGTTAAAATATTTGGATAGTTTTGTCGCTAATATTGTAGGCAGCCATGTAAAAACAGACATTTACCTGACCTATCTAAAACTTGGTTGTAAATTTGATATTGTTCTGTATTTAATAAACTTTCGTTGTGCCTATAAAAGTATGTCATAGCTAATCACTCTGAAATAGTCTCTGTTTTGTATGACTTCTTCACGTTTTACAGGCTGAGGCGAACCATAATACTTTAAACATTGTCTTCCTAAAGACAGCACCGTGTCTTTAAAGGAAATCACACACTTGTTGTACATTTCATTTATAATATGAACACTCCCTTGATACTCTGACTGAACTTGACAAATCCAAAGCTTTGCATGATGACTGGTATGTGGGATAAGCGACACCATCAATAGTTTTTAAATCCGAGAATGATGTTGGCCCTCTCATTTCTTGAAGAAGAAGACCAAGGTAGAAACATTCGGCGTTATTAGGGTGAACGGTGTACACTCTGCCCAAAGTTTGATCGCTTTTGACTCCCGGCCAACCATCAACATTTTTTCCACGTTTTTGTCTCTCAAATTTGGTACTTTTCCACACATAGTACGAAGGGACTTCAACATAAAAAAGGATTTTTGCAAAATTATTCGTTTTGTAAAGCTCAAAAAATGCTAGAAAAGTAGTTTTCTGTGAATTATTTACCTTTTCAGTTACATTATTAAAGTCGTTAGGATTAAAACAGACAGCAGGCCATTTTTCAAGTGCACTGTGAGATGAAAAACCGCTGGAAATTGTTCATGTATAGGAAAGCGTCAGGATTCTCCAGACAGTTTCAAAGCTGCTAATATATCGACCACATTCATATAATTTGACCTCATCATTGTCATTTTCAAGACCAAATAATCCTGGTTGGAGTTGGAGAGTTACAATACTCTATGTTGATGTGAGCAGCAAAAGTTCAAGATAAAAGTGGATTGTACGGTACCACCCATCTGTTATCTAGGGTTACAACATGGAATTCAACCGTGAATCCACCATCCGCGGAACCTCTTCGCCGGTATTGAGGGTAGCTGTCTTCGCCTGTTTGGGTTTCTTTCAGGAGAATTCGAGGATATTTTTTGCTACAGCTACATCCTTTCATTTCATTTCCACCCAAATCATATTCCGTTGGGGATGAATTTCAAAAAAGAATTAAAATCAGTCAGTCAAGACAAACAATTTTACATGATTACCAATTTTCAAGTAACAAATGTTAACAACATTTCAACTAAACATCGCCATGCAAATATTTTTTCTCATATAAACTTTGTCACCTCATTTGATCTTCTTAGGGGTAGAATCTCAAAAACAGCTGAAATACGCGTTACATTGTTTGTGTTGAAAAGCATTAATATCAAGTTCCAAGCAAAAATTTACAATAGAAATATTTTCCCATACACAATTAGTTACCACTTTTTACCCCCTTAGGGGTTGAATCTCGGAAAATGCTGAAATACGTGTGTCATTATATGTGTTGAAGAGCATTAATACCAAGTTCCACGTGAAAATGTGCAACAGAAGTAGTTTTCCCGTACAAACTTATCCACCACTTTTTACCCCCTTAGGGGTTGAATTTCGGAAAATGGTGAAATACGTGTTTCGTTATTTGTGTTGAAAAGCATTAATACCAAGTTTCACGTAAATATTTACAACAGAAATGGTTAGGTAAGTCTTCTTGTACAAACTTTACCACCGCTTTTCACCCTTTTAGGGGTGGAATTTCCCAAGTTCCTTTCTTAGTGGGTGTTTACATCACAAAAGGAAACTATTGTCCAAATTTCATGTTTCTAGCTGCAGTAGTTTAGGCTCTGCGTTGATGAATCAGTCAGTCAGGACAAACAATTTTATATGTATAGATTGGGCAACAGTAAGTGCCAAGTACATTGTTTCACTTAAAATCTAATTCGTGATTGTAGGCCCAAAGAGCTTCCCAACATTTTAGGCGACGCAGTAATTGCAAAACTTGCCGAAAAATACTCAAAAACACCCGCGCAAATTGCGTTGAGATTCCTTATTCAAAGAGGAGTTGCTGCCATTCCAAAAAGCGTTACTCCGAAGAGGATTCAGGAAAATATAAGTATTTTTGACTTTGCTTTGGATGACGATGAAATGAATACTCTGAAGGGGTTAGAAGTTGGGGAGGTAGCGCGTGTGTGCGATTTTAAAGTCTTCCCAGGGTAAGAAGTAGTGGCACTATTTTTTTTTATTGTTATGATTTTTTGCAGACTTGATATACACCCGGACTTCCCATTTGTTGCCGCCAAGTAAATTATACTAAAATCTATTGAATATTCCTACCTATTATTATAACAGAGCTTCCTATTTTTGTTAAAATTGCTTCTCTAAATTAAATATTGCAAATAAATTTTATTTTTTTTATTTTGACAGATGACAGATGTCACATAACCAAACATAACCTATGAAAACTATGAAACAGTTGGCGCCAAAATTATCCAAGTTGTAAACCACACTTCACGTTTTCTTGCAGTAAATTCTACAAAAGAAACATGTCTGGTTCCACATACAACGAAGAAACCTTACCAGATTTACTTCCTGTGTATTATAGGAGATTATTTCCACAAGTAGCGTTCCACAAATGGCTGTGCTACGGTAGGTACTAATCTCCAGTTTTCCCTTCATTAAAACTTTGTCTAGGGGACCCCAAAAACTTCAACAAAAGAGAAATTTCTTTCACACTCCATGGAGACATCTACTTGCGTTATCAATCTTTTGACACAGCGGAAGAGTTTGCACAGGCCCTACATAAACGATTTCCCATCAAAATCGATATAGGGGCTGTCTATAAAGACACCTTGAAAGGCAACTACTCGGCTGTGAAAACTCCAGTGGAAAGAGAAGTCGTCTTCGACATTGATATGACGGACTATGATGACATTCGAACTTGCTGTTCTGGGGCAGATGTTTGTGACAAGTGCTGGAAGTTTATGATTATTGCGTGTAAAATATTGGATGCTGCGTTAAGGGAGGATTTCGGTTTTGAACATATTTTGTGGGTGTTTTCTGGAAGGAGAGGTATTCACTGTTGGGTTGGTGATAAAAAGGCACGGAAGTTGGATGATGGGGAAAGATCTTGCATTGCTGAGTTTTTAAATGTGATACGTGGTGGAATGCTCACTAGGAAGGTGAAATTGGGGTTTTCCGTACATTCTTCGCTTCAGTAATTTTTCAAAAGTTGGTTTTGCCAAGTTTAATGTATTGGTTTGTAGGAGATCTTTAAAAATTATTGATGAGTACTTTGATGATATTTTAACTGAACAGGATATTTTGGGGACTAATGAACGTTTGAATGAGTTTTTAAATAATTTAGAGACGGATTTAAGACCTTTATTTCATGATGCTATGTCTAGTGTTAGTAGTACGACAGAGCGGTGGAACGCGTTTCAGAGCACCTTTCATAGATTATTTAAAGAGGTAAAACATATAGTAGATTGGTATTTAATTATATCAATGTTTGAAATTTCAGCAAAAAATTTCCAAATCTTATAAAAACTTGATTGAGGAAATGAAAATATATTATTCATATCCACGCCTTGATATAAATGTTACAAAAAGCATGAACCATTTATTGAAAGCCCCGTTTTGTGTACATCCAAAGACAGGAAAAATTTCTGTACCATTTAAAGTAAAAAGTGTGGATAAATTTAGTCCTAAGGAGGTACCCACAGTTAGGTAAATTTTCCTTTGTATTTTGTTATATGTCTAAAAATTATATTTTAGTCAACTTCTTGATGAAGTTAATGCTTTTGATGCCAAAAATAAAGGACAAAAAACCACTGAGTCTGCTGAGGTGCAGGCAACAAATTTTAAAATGAAGGATTTCAAGAAGACAAGTTTGTTCGGATATGTGGCTATATTTAATGAGTTTCTTAGAGCGTTGCAAGCAGCTGCTTTACGTGACAGGAGTCTACAGTTTGGTATGAAGAAGGTACTTTCTTTAAATAATACTTTGTGTTTCTTTTTGCAGGAACAGCTATGGAGTGCTAAGTTGTGTTGTTGATTTTTGATGCATTTTTTTTAATTTTTCAATAAAGGCATGTTTGGTCCAGTTTTGTTTTATTTACCTGCCTTATATTATTATGTATAAAGTAATGTTAAAACAATTACGTTATGGCTGTGTATGTAACAAGAGGTAAAAGTCAAATTTTTATTTGTTAGCTGTAGGTATGCGGTCAACACGGTGTGTGGTAAAAAAATTATTTAAAAACACCTGTTGCATTTGATAACATGTTCTAATTCAAATCAAATAAATAAAACTCTTCTACGATGATATTTTCTTCTAAAAAAAGCTCACTAAAACTTTATTGCCACAAATAAATTTTTTGTGCATACATGAGAACGGTAATTTTTATCACTGTTTTATTTTTGGATGACATCATCTAAATTTTCTTTCTTCAGTTACATCATATCATGTAACCACAATGTGGTGTTTTTGATTTTTTTCAGAAATAATTAAAGTGAATGACGTCAAGTGTACAGAAACAAAACGTCACTGTTTACAAAGTTTTATTAATTCAAAAAAACAGGTACTGAATAAGTAGTCTAGTGTGCTGTGAGTATGTGGAATATGGCGACGATTTGTTAGTGCCCCTTATCAAGTTAAACCGAAAACACCAGATAATTTTGTTTATTGATAACAATTAATAATTAACTATAAACAAGTGTTAATAGTGGGTTACAAATCCTCGGGGAATAATTATTCCCCAAATTATAATTTGTGCTGAAGTGACTGCAAGCTCGTAGAAATCAAGGGTGAGTGTTTCATATTTTTTATATTATTTCAAAGCGTTTATGCCTTAAATTTTACTAACTTTGGTTAATTTAATACCGAAAAATACCACAAAAGTTAGGAAAGGTGATTTCATTGTTTCGTAACGCGACGTAATTTTGTTTTTTCAATCCATTCCAAATAATTCCTCAAGTTGGCGTTGGATGAGCAAACTATCTTTGCCACACAAGGAGGAATTATGAAAAAACAACTATTTTTCTTAATTCGTGGAGTTCTTATTTTATGTTTGTCATTTTTTTTTTTGTAAAATATTTAAATTTGTCTATTTGTGTGTTCTAGTCTTATTATACAGGGTGTCTCAGAAATAAGTACATTAATTTTAATCAGTTATAGAGCTCATTGAATTCAACAACTTTTTTTAGTAAAGTTTTGTCAAGAACTTTTTAATTATCAAGTTAAAAATTGTTAAAGTTATATCCCAATTAAGGTTACCCGCCCATGGATCCTCAGTCACCCATGGACACTAATAATTATTATAATTAATAATTTATGGTCAAAAACAGTTACTAGGATACGTATTTTCCTAATCTTGTCAATGTGACAAACATTTAGAGACAAATTGAAAATCCTGCCCCCTAATGGCCTACGGAATTTCATCGGACCAAATGTGGGTGTTGAACACCTTCCCTCGTATAACCGACCTCATCAGTGCCGTTTCCCCGAGCTTCACCGTACGTTAAAACGATATCGGTGCATTCCAGATTTGAAAACAAAGCCATTTCAACACATTTCGTCTATAAATTAGAAATCTGTGCCAAACAAACTTTAAAGAGACAACGTTTAATAAAAACATTGACATAAAAATGATTGTCAGTGTCAAAACGGTTGCTAGGGTACCTTCTTCATTGTTGTAGTGTTGTTATTATTTAAGTTATTATTTAAGGTGAACATAGACGGCTCGTGAATATATGGGTGGGAAAATTCGAAATTCGACTTGAGTTTTCGAAAAAATGCTAGATAAAAAAGTTGTTCCGTTTCACAAGTTCTGTTAGTGGTTAAAATTAATGTACTTATTTCTGAGACACCCTGTATGATCTAAGGTTTTAGTAGGTAAGTTATGCTCATGACGCATACAAAAGTTAGGGAATTTTACGTTTTGTCGACGTTTCGTAGATAGAATGTGAAAAAAGCGGTCTTTCGTTTCCGTCTGCCTGTCGATCGTTTATCGTCTGTTGGTGATTTTATGGCAGATATAAGGGGCAATTCTGTAAAAACTTTTAAAGGGTGTTAAATTGCAAATTTCCATATAATATAAGTAACGAGTTAAATTCGTAAATCTGATAGGCTGTTTATTTTTTAGCAACCTTTAAATTTTAATTTTAAAGGTTTGATTCAGAATTGCTCCTATAGTCTTATAATAAAACTACCGGATAGTGGTCGAAATTACAAATACCGTAACACGGTGTTAATTTGGGCCACTTTCAAACTTCACCCCTTCATATCTACCATGTTTATTAATATAAATTTATCGAATATTTTTTATTAGTCTAGTCTTTGTTACTACTCTTAATATACGAAGCAACAGTTGAGTGCGTTTATTGCAAATATTTTTTTAAAATATTTTTTGGGTGGCCAAAGTTACCTGGGGGGTGGGTGATATTTTGGCCACCACCAAAAGGGGAACGCTAGACAACAGATAAGTTTGAATTGGGCGCCATTTGTTGCCTTAAACGCAACCAGCAATTCTTCTTTAAATCTACCTGACGCGCTGGGATAGACGATTGCCGGACGTGCGTCATAAAAACATCGTAAGCCGATCATGAAGAATAATGATAATTTATGACAGGCAGCCCACAACATACCTCCAGCAGAGAATAAGCCCGTCTATTAGTTTATACGCGTAAATGTATTATTAATACCGTTTTCTTGTTATTTAGATAGGGGAACAAATTAAATGCACAGTTCTATTTTTAAACGCTCTGTATTTTTGCTCGGTAAAAATGATAAATGCTAAGTTATATAATAAAATAATGTATGTTTGGTGAAATAATAGCTGCTTAGTTAAATTAATAACTTTTCGGTTAAATAAGGAATGCTTATCAAGAACTCTACTTGCTAAGTATAAAAATTGTAAACGTTAATTAAATAAATACATCCGCAGTATATTTTACAGATACTACTTATTTAGTGTGACGTAATGAAATTACAGTATCTTAAATTTGGACTGGAGTTTAATACTTTTCTTTCATAATGCTAATTATTAAACACAAATACTTAAAGTTTGTCCAGAATTATAAGAATTTTATGGACTCCCAACGTTAATTCGTTTTACAGCCCAGGCGTCAATTCTTTTTGTACAGGTAAAGAGCTTGTCAGGTTATAAAGGCACTTCTATCGTTATGGAAGCAGGCGTTATTTTAGAAGGGTTTATGAAATCAGTTGCTTTGTATGGCTTAATTTATGGCAAAATAATAGCCGACGGAGACAGTAGTGTCTACCATAAATTACTGTCATCATTTCCGTATGGCCCACAATTTCATATTCAAAAAATTGAATGTAAAATTCATATTATTCGCAATTACATATCTAAATTAACGGAACTAAAAAATAATACCAAATATATTTAAAAGACATTCTAAGCGCTAAAATAGAAAAGTTGCCATTGGCGGTGAACTCATCTATTTCATTTTGGACAGAAAATGAAAATCATTTATTCGAAGAAAAAATACTAATGTTATAAAAAGAAATCGAAAATGGTCCCAAGCATACCTTTGAAGGTCACACTTTTTGTAATATTAGTGAACATTCTTTTTGTACTGAAGAATCTGTAAAAAAGAAAGTGGAGGCTGGAGAACAAAATCTTTTCCCACTGTTGATGGATAATGGATTTTTTTGATGAAATTTTGTTTCGAAATAAAAGGGTGGCAGATAATGCGTGGAGTTTATTACACAATGTTACCAACAACTTATCGGAATGTTATAATTCTGTAATCAGTAAGTTTGTTGGCGGCAAAAGGGTGAATTTTTCTTTAAAGGGTGGCTATACGACCAGGTGTTACGGTGCAGTCTTATTGTACAATTTCGAAAAAGGTATGTATCATGAAAAAATCCAACAAAAGTTAACAAAAAACGGCACTGGTTTAATAACAAAAAAATATTGTTCGTCTATGAAAAAAGCTCGTCTTAGACAAAGTATTCATAAAAAAAAATGTCGTAAAAAATGTACGTATGCTGGTCCCGACTGCGATTATGGTTTAAATAATTTAGATAATCCTGATATGGATGTAGAAACATTTGTGACAGCCAAAGAGGTTTTTTTGAGAAAATTATCTTTGAATTTAGACCAAAATGAAATAGACACTAGGCGGCAACAGGCACTCTCTTAACACTTGGGCAAAAGAAAGAGAAATTAGGGTTACGGCTTCAAATTTTGGACGGATTTACAAACTAAGACCGACTACAGCAACAGCTAAAACTGTGGAGTCTCTGTTGTACAGTACATTTAGAGGTAATAGTCATACGTACTATGGACAACAAAGTGAGGAAAAAGCTGTCAAGTGTTTTGAAATAAATAAAAGTATAAAAACTGAACGGTGTGGCTTGTTTATTTCAAAACAATTTCCTTACTTGGCTGTTAATCCAGACAGGCTTCTAGAGGATAGGAGTGCATTAGTCGAAATTAAATGCCCTTTAAAATTGCAAGATTTGTCTTCCGAAGAAGCGGTTAGAAAAAAAATAATCAAATTTTGTACACTGACAGACAGAGAATTGAAACTAAAAAAAAATCATGATTACTACTTTCAAGTCCAGGGACAAATGCTTCTTACGGGTATTTCACAAGTTTATTTTGTTGTGTAGACACCCAAAGGAATAAATATAGAAAAAATTTATAAAAACGAAGAAATACAGGGTTAGTCACGAGAGAATTACTTCTGAAAATTATTTTTACGCAACCCAAAATACGAATACCATGTACTATTTGATACTAACTGAATTTAAAATGAAATGCTTAATCCATGATTGCTTTGAGTTTGGCAATCTCATTTTGACAATTGTGGAAAAGGAGGTTACGCGAGTGTCCATGGTGGTACCGCAGCCAGTCGGAAATCTCCTCCGGCGCCGCTAATAAATTTGTCAGTGTGCCTCTTGATCTTTTGCAACCGATTAATCACGAGAAAATTATTTCTAAAAATTCCTTTACGGTATTTTATTCAAAGGTTACAACGCAAACTCAAACAAGTAAGTAAATAATTTAACTACTAATCTGTTGAAAATGTTGAGCATTTTGGGGGGATGCTACGGCTTTTTTGTAAATGGAT